GACTAGCACATATGTGCGAGGGGAACCTTTACCTTTACAACATCCAGAGGAGGAGGAGGAAGAGGGAGAAGCTTCCATCACACCAATGTACAATCTTGACCACATCCTGGGGACAATCCTGCCACGCTTTACCGGGGGGGGGGGAGAGAGTTTTGGAGCCGGCAGGCGGGAACAGAGACATCTGCCTGGAAAAAGAAAAATCTGTTGATGAGGTCTGTTTCTTTAACTGTACCAGCTGGAGAAAATTCCGGGCTCTAGGAATGTAGCGTGTGCTCAGTGAGGCGAGGGAGCCCCGTCTAAGTGCTTTGTGGCTGCCGGATACTGATCGAATGTGACGGCTGCAGCCAGGCGTGCAGGTGGAGACTCCACTCAGCTGCTGCCTTGGGGATGGGGTGGGGGAGAGGTGACCCTCCCAAACTGCAGAAGACGGAGGGTCTCCGGCACAATCCTGCAGGCACCTGCTCCGCTTTCTCTTCCTTGAGGATGGATGCTGCGGCCACCAGATGCCTTTGGCCTGTTTCCTGGAACCCATTCTAGGCTGGGATTCACACCGCATCCCGAATGCAGCGATTAGTGTGCAGTGTGAAGCCAGCTATGGCTAGGACTGGGGATTGGGGGTTTAGGCCTGGGGAGGAACCCAGATGGTTTGCGGCTGAGGGGACCAACCATGGTTGGAGGGTTGTGGCTGAGGGGACCAATCACGGTTTGGGGGTTGAGGCTGAGGGGACCAATCATGGTTTGGGGGTTGCGGCTGAGGGACCAACCATGGTTGGAGGCTTGCGGCTGAGGGGACCAATCATGGTTTGAGGCTGAGGGGACCAATCACGGTTTGAGGGTTGCGGCTGAGGGACCAACCATGGTTGGAGGGTTGTGGCTGAGGGGACCAACCATGGTTGGAGGGTTGCAGCTGAGGGGACCAATCACGGTTGGAGGGTTGTGACTGAGGGGACCAATCACGGTTGGAGGGTTGCAGCTGAGGGGGCCAATCACGGTTTGATGTTTGCGGCTGAGGGACCAACCATGGTTGGAGGGTTGTGGCTGAGGGGACCAATCATGGTTTGAGGGTTGCGGCTGAGGGGACCAATCACGGTTGGAGGGTTGCAGCTGAGGGGGCCAATCACGGTTTGATGTTTGTGGCTGAGGGACCAACCATGGTTGGAGGGTTGTGGCTGAGGGACCAATCACGGTTGGAGGGTTGTGACTGAGGGGACCAATCACGGTTGGAGGGTTGCAGCTGAGGGGGCCAATCACGGTTTGATGTTTGCGGCTGAGGGACCAAACATGGTTGGAGGGTTGCGGCTGAGGAGATCAACCACGGTTGGAGGTATAAATGCAACCAAGATCATTTTGGAGGATAGACATCCTCCAAAACGCCTGACTAGGTGGCTCAGTGGCTAAGACACTGAGCTTGCCGATCAGAAAGGTTGGCAGTTCGAATCCCTAGTACAGGTCTCCTGCGTGACCAGGGGGTTGGACTAGATGACCACCAAGGTCCCTTCCAACTCTGTTACTGTTACATCTCTGAACAAGGGTCCCTTGGCAACTTTAAAGACTTGTGGACTTCCAGAATTCCTCCTCAACCAGATCCACGGCTAAGGAATTCTGGGAGTTGAAGTCCAAGAAGTCTTTAAAGTGGCCACGCTTGGACATCCCTGCTCCGGAGGATGGATGGGCCTCCCTAGCTCAGCCTTCAAGTCCCAGAATTCCCTGCCTACCTGAGAATCGCTGAGCATTCTGGGAGACGGAGGCACCTCTCTGGCAAAGCACCCAGGCAGGTGGGCAGGATGGAGGCAGGGAGCTGAGAGAAGCTGGGTCCCATGTCACGGACCCGACATTTCACAGCAGGCGCCTTCGGTTCCAGTTTGGCTCTCGAAAATCAAACAACCGATTAGGCGGAGCTGGCGGCACCAGCAGCAGCCTTCACCCCCTTGGCTGGGCTTGGTCCCTCCCCACGGCCGCCCCTTCCCCCTGGATAAGCCTGTGGGGAGGAAGTGGGGAGGGACGAGAGATCCAGAGCCACCAGCACTGATGAGAGGAGGGGGAGTTCCCTCCTCTCCCCCCCCCCACATCAGGGGAGGTAGCTGAGACATCCCAGGCCTGGATGATGTGACAGGCCGAGCCTTTTATGGAAGCCAGGGCCCTGCCAGTGTCTTTATCTCTCCCACCCACCTTCCTCCGGGGAACGCAAGCTCGGCTTTTGGGCCCCCAAAGGGGAAGGCTGGGAAGCTCGGCCCCTTCCTGGCTCCCTCGTTAGGCAAGGAGGCCAAGCCAAGCTGGAGGCACAGCTTGAGTGGGTTCTGCCCTCCCCCCCCCCAGGACGGAGCCCCAGGTCTGAGGGGCCACAGCTATGAGAGTCCTCCAAGGCTTCCTTCACTACATCTTGATTTGAAAACTCAGCTGAGGTCCTCTCCGTTAAATAGATCAGGACATCTGGAGACCAGTCTATTTCTCCTCCTCCTCTTCCTTCTCCTCCTCCATCTCATCCCTCCCTCCTCCTCCTCCTCCTCCTTTTTCTTCTTCTCCATCCCCTCCTCCTCCTCCTCCTCCTCCTCTTCCTCCTCCTCATCCCTCCTCCTCTTCCTTCTCCTCCTCCTCCATCTCATCATCCTTCCTCCTCTTCCTCCTCATCCATCCTCCTCTTCCCTCCTCCTCTTCCTCCTCCTCCTCGTCCTACATCTCATCCCTCCCTCCTCCTCATCCCCCCTCCTCTTTCTTCTTCCATCCTCTCCTCCACCTCCTCTTCCTCATCCCTCCTCTTCCTCCTCCTCATTCCTCTTACTCTTTCTTCTCCATCCCCTCCTCCTCCACCTTCACCTCCTCTTCCTTATCCCTCCTCTTCCTCCTCCTCATCCCTCCTCCTCTTCCTTATCCTCCTCCTCCATCTCCTCATCATCATCCCTCCTCCTCTTCCTTCTCCTCATCCCTCCTCCTCTTCCTCCTCCTCCTCTTCCTCCATCTCCTCCTCCCTCCTCCTCCATTCAATAAACCAAAAACTATTGGTTCCTCTGATCCATCACCCTGAGTCACACTTGCAAGCAAAAAGCAAAAACCACTTTCAACAATATGTACTACCTAAAATAAACCCTGGTTGGTTCACTAACCCTACTTGAACATCACACCTGGCCACGTGGCTCAGTCAGGTCCATGAATTACATCATCTAGTCGGCTGGGTGGGTGGGTGCCCTCCCTGCACAGAAGCTACAGCAATTTGTTGCCGATTTCGTACAATTGTTGCTGAGCCACTAAACCTGGCTAACCAACCGCAGTTCAGGGCAACGTGTGAATCCAACCCCTGGCTTGCTTGGGAAAGTCTGCTTGATTTTGGAGGCTTGAATTTTTGGCTTCTTTTCAGGGAAAAATGGCAGTGGGCCCCTTGTTTATTTTTTAGGAAGGAACATGGGAGGAAAATCTCTCCGTGTGTGTTTCACCGGATCCCTGCAATGGAAAATCGAGGTCCTATAAAAAGAAAATTGCCCTCTGGGCACCCTTAAAGGTACAGATGCTCTCTGAAAAATCACCGTCTGCAGCCCCTGACCAGTTTTGACAATGACACCCTCCTTCCCTGGTTTCCTTCGCTGGTTTTGCACGCAAGTAGAATCTCGGGAATATTTTTTTTTTCAAACAGCCAACCCTGGCAAGAAAAGCAACCAGTCAGTTAAAAGGCTGTAACTCATGAAATAAATGTCTGGCTGAACGTCCACCGGAGATCTTTTTCAGGTGCCCGAAGACTTTTCTGTTGGTGGGGGGTGGGGTGGGGGGAGAGAAGGACCTATGCAATGGGACAAAGCAACTGTTTTGTATGGCGAGAAGGGTCCAGCGGCATGCTTTAGCATCCCAGGAAGGAGGGAGGGAGGGAGGGAGGGAAGGAAAGAAGGAAGGAAGGAAGGAAGGAAGGAATAGACTTACAGCCCTCTCTAAGCGGTTTACAGAGTCAGCCTCTTGCCCCCAACAATTTGGCTCCTCATTTTACCCACCTCGGAAGGATGGAAGGCTGAGTCAACCTTGAGCCTGGTGAGGCTTGAACTCCTGACTGTGGGCAGAGTTAGCCTGCAATACTGCATTCTAACCACTGGGAGGGAAGGAAGGAAGGAAGGAAAAAAAAAAAACCCAGGAGAATTTCTGCCAGTCCTGTGGGAACAAGATTGAATTAAACGGTGTTTCTCAACTTTATAGCAACTTTAAGACACATGGACTTAATTCCCAGAATTCTCCAATCAGTGAGCTGCCTGGGGAATTCTGGGAGTTGAAGTCCACATGTTTTAGCTTGCTGGCTGGGGAATTTTGGGAGTCGAAGTCCACACGTCTTAAAAAGTTGCTGAGGTTGAAAAACACTGAGCTAAAGCAACCTGATGCAGACCTAACTAAGGATTAATGAATTAACCCATTAATTAATGGAATAGCTTGTCTCCTGTGGTTGGGGGTGCCCCATCACGAGAGAGATTTTCAAAAACGGACCGGACAACCATTTGACTGGGATGATATGAGATTCCTACCTGGAGCAGGGGGTTGGATTAGAACAGGGGTCCCCAATCTTGGCATCTTTAAGACTTGTGGACTTCAACTCCCAGAGTTCCTCAGCCAGCGTTGCTGGCTGAGGAACTCTGGGAGTTGAAGTCCACAAGTCTTAAAAGATGCCAAGGTTGGAGACCCCTGGATTAAAAGACTTCCCTTCCAGCCCTATGAGTCTACGGATTAGTAACTTCCTCTGTTCCTATTAAAAATCAGACCTTTATCCATGAGGACTAGAATCTTGCTTGAATTTTAGATTCGGCCTTTCCTCGGTGGTAGTTCAATTACAGGAAAGCCAAGATCTATCCCGTTGGCCATCCATGCTGCCGATAGCCACGGGAGAGGGATCTCGGCTCCAATTTGGGAGAGTGGAGATCCACTGCAAACCTTTGCAGAATGGAGGGATCTCACATGGTCGGCTTGTTAATTCTGTGCCTTGTGAGTGACTCCAGGCATTGGGCTCATTCAATAAAATATGGTTAACTTTGCAGGTTGTGTGAATCGAATTCCCGAGGTCCAGGACAGCGTCTGAAGTCAAATGCACCATAAGTCCCTAAATTTGATCAATAAAATAAGCGAAATGGCCTGGTTACCTCTCAAAGCCGAATGCCCTGCAATCCTCCCAGCCTAATCCTAAAGGGTTAAACTGGATTAACTCGGCTCTTCCCCAAGCTAGTAGGGAGCCGGTGTGTTCTGCCGAGCCCCCTTGGCAGACTCCCTCCTTCCTCTCAGGCTGCTGTTCCCTCTTGCCTTGACTATTTAAGGCAAATATTGCTCCAAACACCCAGCTCATCTCTGCCCCTGCTTTTTAAAATAACTTGCTGGGAACAAACAGGCAAGGCAGAAGTCTATAAATCAGGTGGTAGCCTGCCAGGGTCTTCCAGAAGTTTGTGTGAAAAAGGAGATGATGGCACATGGAGAGATGGGGGGGAGGGGGGAGGAGAGAGAGAGGGAGGAGAAGGAGGAAGGGAGAGGGAGGGAGAAGAGAGAGGGAGGAGGAGGGAGGGAGGGCGGAGAGAGGAAGAGGGAGGGAGGGAGTGGGAGGGCGGAGAGAGGGGGGAGGGAGGGAGGGAGGAGAGGAAGAGGGAGGGAGCGAGTGGGAGGGCGGAGAGGGAGGGAGGAGAGAGGAAGAGGGAGGGAGGAGAGAGAGGGAGGAGGAGGGAGGGAGTGGGAGGGAGGAGGGAGGAGAGAGGAAGAGGGAGGGAGGGAGAGAGAGGGCGGAGAGAGGAAGAGGGAGGGAGAAGAGAGGGAGGAGGGAGGGAGGGCGGAGAGGAAGAGGGAGGGAGAGGGAGGGAGGGCAGAGGAGGAGGGAGGGAGGGACTGGGAGGGGAGAGAGGAAGAGGGAGGGAGGGAGTGGGAGGGTGGAGGGAGGGAGGGCGGAGAGGGAGGAGGAGGGAGGGGGGGGGAGAGGGAGGGGGGGAGGGAGGAGAGAGAAAGAAGGAAGGAAGGAAAAGAAAGAAAGAAAGAAAAGAAAAGAGAGAGAGACCTGTTCCCCTAAGGCAGTTCTATATCTCAATGCTGGGAAAAGCACCACCTGTTGAATTCTGCCTGTGACCTCCAAGGTCCCTTCCGTTATTCTGTTACAGGTCGTCCTCAACTTACAACAGTTCATTTAGCGACCATTCAAAGTTACAACAGCACTGGAAAAAAGTGACTTCTGGCCATTTTTCACACTTACAACCTTTGCAGCAATTCCACGGGTCACGTGATCAAAATCCAGACGCTTGGCAACTGGTTCACACTTACGACCGTTGCTGTGTCCCAAGGTCACATGATCTCCCTTTAGCAAACCAAAATCAACGGGGAAGGCTGATGCCCTTGAGCAACCACCGTCTTACTAAACGACCAACTGCAATGATTCACTTAACCACCGGGGCAAGAAAGGTCGCAAAATGGGACATAACTCATCAAACAAATGTCTCGCTTAACAACAGAAAGATTGGGCTCCATTGTGGTTGTAAGTCAAGGACTCCCTGTATTGTGTTAAGTGGCCGAGTTTGGGGGGGGGAAAACGCAGCGTTAAATCTCGGAGCCGAGCATCTCGCACTGACGGAGTCTTTTCTGCGGAAGAAGCAGCTTAGGCAGGTTGTGTTTTTCCCTGAGATGCTTCAGTGCACACATCGTGCTAAGCGATGGATGATTTCACCAGCTGCAGTTTGCTGGGCTTTGCGCAGAACATGGCCGATGCGCCTGGTACACAATTTACTTTCCTCCAGCGCTGACTTCTGGAGCCACTTTGTCGTGGTCCCAAAACAGAACAGAAAGCCCTGAGTTGGCCAGAAGTATGTCATTGGGATGCTAGCTAGCTAGCTAGCTATTTATTATTTTATTTTATTTTATTTTATTTTATTTTATTTTATTTTATTTTATTATTTTATTTTATTTTATTTTATTTTATTTATTTTATTTTATTTTATTTTATTATTTATTTTATTTTATTTATTTTATTTTATTATTTTATTTTATTTTATTTTATTTCATTCATTCATTCATTCATTCATTTATGTATGTCCTTGAATAGTTTGGTGACGATGTTACAAAACAGCAGCACCTGGGTCTGACAAAGCTAGGCCACCTTCTCTAGGTAAGACCGCTGGCACGTGTCGCTTCAGGGGTGAAATCCAGCAGGTTCTGACAGGTTCTGGAGAACCAGTAGCGGAAATTTTGAGTAGTTTGGAGAACCGGCAAATACCACCTCTGGCTGGCCCCACAGTGGGTTGGGAATGGAGAATTTGCAATATCCTTCCCCCAGGTGTGGGGAGGGAATGGGGATTTTGCAGTATCCTTCCCCTGCCATGCCCACCAAGCCACACCAAGGTCACTAAACGAACTGTAGTAAGTGGATAGAATCAAGATCGCGCGAAGTGTTAAGACCACTTTATAAGGCCTTGGAAAGGCCACACTTGGAATCCTGCATTCAGTTTTGGTCGCCACGATGTAAGAAAAGATGTGCAGACTCTAGAAAGAGTGCAGAGAAGAGCAACCAAGAGGATTAGGGGACTGGAGGCTAAAATATATGAAAAATGGCTGCAGGAACTGGGTATGTCTAGTTTAATGAAAAGAAGGACTAGGAGAGACATGATAGCAGTCTTCCAATATCTCAGGGGCTGCCCCAAAGAAGAGGGAGTCAAGCTATTCTCCAAAGCACCTGAGGGCAGGACAAGAAGCAATGGGTGGAAACTCATCAAGGAGAGAAGCAACCTAGAACTAAGGAGAAATTTCCTGACAGTGAGAACAATTCATCAGTGGAAGAACTTGCCTCCAGAAGTTGTGAATGCTCCAACACTAGAAGTTTTTAAGAAGAAGTTGGATAACCATTTGTCTGAAGTGGTGTAGGGTTTCCTGCCTAAGCAGGGGGTTGGACTAGAAGACCTCCAAGGCCCCTTCCAACTCTGTTATTACATTATATTAAGTCAAGGACTGCCTGTAGAAAGGACAGGAAATTACTGGGAATCCCTAAGATCCAATGGGAAACTTTAAAAAAAACATCTCTAAAGAAGGGATTTACGTTTTTCATGACTTCCCGTAGCGTAGCCAAGAAAACAGCCTGGGTGGCTCCCTCAAGGCCCGAATGAATGATTCCTCCTCGGTGGAGATTTCACCTTCAACGAGGCCACAGAGCAAAGAGACGGAGACAAAACCGTTGGCCAGAAACGTTGCTTGAAGGAGGAGAAGTCTGTGAGAGGCTGGATCTGGAGACCGTCAGCTTCACGCTGTCACAACAAAGTGCTTTGTGATGAAGTGGCTTTGCTTTTATCAGATGGCTGCCGCAAATAAGCAGGAGTTTCTGGGCAGGAAGGAATGCAACAGAACAGCGCCGTGACCAAGCACAGCCCTGTGCCATTTATAGAAACGGCACGTTTCCGAGGTGAAAAGCCCCTTTTTGGATGTTTTTTTCTCTTCTGAGAGAAGCTTTAAAGGGCTTGAGAAAGCATCCCAGTTTGAGGGGGATGGAGAGGGAAGACTGGACTCTTGCAACCTTAACAGAGTTGGAAGGGACCTTGTAGGTCATCTAGTCCAACCCCTCCCCCACCCACCCACCCACCCAAGCAGGAGTCTCTACACCAGGGGTGAAATCCAGCAGGTTCTGACAGGTTCTGTTGAACCGGTAGCGGAAATTTTGAGCAGTTCGGAGAACCGGCAAATACCACCTCTGGCTGGTCCCAGAGTGGGGTGGGAATGGAGATTTTGCAATATCCTTCCCCCAGGAGTGGGGAAGGAATGAGGATTTTGCAATATCCTTCCCCTGCCACGCCCACTAAGCCACAGCTCGCCCACCAAGCCATGGGTTGCTCCCAGTTTGCCCCAGTTCAGGCAAACCGGTAGTGGTGGCAGTGGGAGACTCCGCCCACCCGCCCAGACGTCATCAAAAACGCTCTGCGCATGCGCGCCCACATGCTACCAATAGCGAACTGGTAGCGCCGGGATTTGAAACCCAGTACTGTTCAGCATCCTTGACTGGAGAGCCAACAACGTTGAGACAGTCACTGGGGCTTCTCTAACTCTGAGCTCAAATCTGGCTGCTGGAAGCTGTCTCCCTCCCCCACCTTAGAAAAGCCTCAGCTCGCAGGTTCACGCAGCTTTTGTAAATGATGCCATGAATGCAGCGCTGAGCATGTTTTTCCTCTTGCGCGCATTGTTTTCAAAGCATCTTATCTTCTTATTTGTTCATTGTACATGCAGGCTTAATTATTGCAAGCTGCCTTGCAGAAGCAACCTAGCAAAGATTCCCAGCAGTTGATCGGGAAGTTCTTCAATCCGTCTGTTTTGGATTTTACTTGGGTGAGCTGCTTAGCTCCGAATATCTACCGAACGGTAGCCCAAGTGTTTTGCATGGAGAAATCCTGGGCTTCCTTTCATACATGTCTCCGTAAAGCTGGAGGGGAGAGAGAGAAAGACTGGGGGGGGGGAATAACACCTCTGAACCTCCCTGAATATCCAATACCTGCCAATATCAAAAATAATGGTGAGAAAAGAAGATGTAATTTATATATATATAAAAAAATAGATTGCGCAGAAATGGATAGACTGACATTAAAGATAAAAGAAAAGGAAGATACAAAGTCAAAGTAAACTGCTCCAAACTCGATTGCAGAAAATACAACTTCAGCAACAGAGTGGTGAACTCCTGGAATGCTCTACCTGACTCTGTGGTTACATCCTCAAACCCCCCCACAGCTTCAACCTTAAACTGTCTACCGTGGACCTTACCCCATTCCTAAGAGGTCCGTAAAGGAGCCGTGCATAAGCGCATCAGCACACCTACCATCCCTGTCCCACTGTCCCCATTTATCTGTACTCATTCCTTGTTCATGTCCCTGTTTATACTTATGCATGTTATCTAGTACACGATCAACAAACTAAATAAATTAAATAAATAGCTACAGAGTACTTTCAAATATGGGATTTGTTTTATAAATGGTTGGATAATAGAGGTAGAAATTAGGAGCTGGCAAAACATTATTATGTAAGCAACCGACCCAGACAATACACTGTTGACTAAGCACTTATGTATCTTAAATGAAAAGGTACAAATGAACTATTTAAAAAATAACAATAATGGTGCTAAGCCTTGTAAG